TGGATGTGGTAAGCGACGATTTTGGTGCACCAAAACAGAATTAATCTGACGCATAATTCGTCATAGTCATGATCACTACGAAAAAACATTTTGCATATTTGTCCCATTAACGATGCGCTTGCTTTTTGTCACAGATCAATGCTTTCATATAATGAGAAACACTACGCGCATGAAGGAAACGACAGACTTCAATCCATTGAAGCCAGGTGAAGTCACATGAAGTCAAGTGGAGTCACATGGGTCAGGTGGAGTCACATGAAATCAGATGAAGTCACTTGACATCTCATTCAATTCTTGCCGATCTTCAGAAACTCATCATAGAAATTTGATACTGCGATGCTTTAATTTCTTTCTATCATGTGTACCATCAGATGAAATATTTATTAGTCTCGATTTAGCGACAAACATACACCATCTTTCTCTTATTCGTATTCAGCATACTCATTCATTCCAAAACGTGGAATCCAGCAAAATGTTTTTTCGTAGTGATCATGACTATGACGAATTATGCGTCAGATTAATTCTGTTTTGGTGCACCAAAATCGTCGCTTACCACATCCCGAACAGCAACGGACTGGATACGGTTCCGCTTAGTGATAATTTTGATCTTTCTCGAAAACTCGATGTGCGTTTCGTCGTCGTGAGATGCAGACGGCTCTGTCGGTTTTTTCTGTCGATCGTTACTCTTGTTTGACCTGGTTTAACTTCGTAATAAACACCCATTAGACTTTACTGATAATGTAAACAAAAAGTACCTCAATTCATTTTCGAAGTAACAACCTATTTGAAAGGAATCAACACTCCAATGCTTCTCTGTCGATGTGAATCGAACGATCCACCGCTGCGCCGAGGAGATGTGGTTTTTACGCCGATCGCTAAAGTTAAGGACAGAATTGCAATCCAATCGGTAGTTCAATCATAAACGAAGTTCATTTCTTTTTATTAAATTTATTTTCGAAACTGAACAATCAGAATTGATTGTTTTCCGTTTAACATTTTAAAACAAACATTTGTTGCACGAAAAAAGAAACAGAAAAAGACATGTCAAATGTTATTTGTTGAAATTGAAACCAAATATATGACCATGAAGATTACGAATACGCGGTCCGGATGAGCCGCCCATACATTTCATACAGCGAACGTTACTAGGATGATTTTTACATAGTTCTGGTGTGTTGTTTTCGCTTTCTGCTTGTTCTTGTTCTTCTTTTTGTTCCCGAGTGCTTCCACTAGCGATCGCATCTGAACTCGTTTGTCTGGCTTGATTCTGTGCATCTTCTTCATGTTCGTATTCTTCATCACTTTTCAGGTTCGTCTTTAATCCATCCAACTCATCCGGAGGAATTTCGAATCCCAATTTTCTGCATTCTTCCAACAATAGTTTATCATCTTCACTCAATTCTTTCTTTTTCGGTGGACCGTTGTCAGAAACATGTGGTGGTCGGCCTTGAAAAACGTGAGCGAGACGTTCACGACTACCATTCCTTGCGCAATCGTCCGCAGTTTTAACACCAACGATGTAATCGGGAACCATCTCTGAGCATTTGAGTTCTCGGTTATGATATTCCTTGAATTGGTACGAAGAACGATCAATCTCGTGGGCCGAAGGTTCAAACTTCATGTTTCCAGCTGCTAACGTTTCATTTCGTACAGCTGGTGAAATAACTGTTTCAGGAGCGAATAAATCAGGATTCTTCGAGTCTTGAGGACCACTGAAGATGTATTTACCATTTGAATGCTCTTTAATTGCTCTCAGTGCTCCTTCCCCGCGTGCTGTTTCCAGTCCAATATTTGTGTAATAGAGTTTGGCAGCATCTTCAGGCACATAAACACGATTGATAGTACCTGGACGTCCAAGATCATCGTTAGCGTACCCTTTGGCGACGTCGGGCGACGGTGAAGTGTACATTCCACTCCAAATCTTTTCCTCAGCTGGATCTGCTTTTGCTGCATCACCGGTGTTGTTGTTCGTTGATGGTTGATTCGATGGCGCAGCACTAGTTGGTGGACATCCTTTGAATCCGACGAATTTATTACCGCCTTCAACGAGTTCGTTGTGTCGATTGACAACATTGTCAACGTTCGGATTCTCGGTGTCAGTACGTGGCGTACCATCTTCTGGTAAAAGTGGATTGATTGGTTCACCACCTGTATTACGTGTAATTGGATAATCGACAGGTTTTGCATAGTATCGTTGATTCGGATACTTCTCTAACAAACGCTGTTGAAGTCCTGCTAATCCGCCTTGATTGGCGCCATTACCACCACCATTATTGTTATGAGTATCTGCATCGTTATTGTTATTAGTGCCTTCACCATTGTTGTTCACGTTGCCATTGCTGTTATCAGCGCCGCCGCCACCACCTCCAAGCCTTGAACCACTTAAGAACGGAATTCCGAAATTTAATCCGACTCCGATGTCCAGACATGGCCGAAGACCAAAGTTGACATTGCCGAAGGATAAGGCTCCATCGACACTGACAGAAGCAGCAGCACTGGGACCACCGATACAGACATTGAAAGCATTAACACCGGTTCCGTTGACTTTTACACTGGCGCCAGCACTAGCTCCAGTTATATCGACGTTACCGACAGTAAATCTGGCTGCTGAAGTGGAAGCAGATGCTGCAGCTTCTACTCCAGTTACACTAACATTTCCAGCTGCAACACTCACTCCATCGGCGTTCGCACTGACATGTGTGCTCACACCGGCTGCGCTCGCATTCAATGCGTTAACACGTGCTCCAGAAGCCGATGCAGAAACCGAACCATTAGCACCGGTTGCGCTCGCATCGAATGTAGTAACACGCGCTCCGACAGCCGATGCGGAAGCTAAGGCGTTGGTACCAGTGGCGTGTGCATTTGCTACTGAAATAGAGGCTCCTTCGGCTGCTGCACTGGCGCTTGCATTCGCGCCTTTGGCATAAGCCGTCAATGCGTTAAAGTGACCTTTTGACGTTGATGCGAACGCGTGTGTAGAGGCACCAATCGCAGAGGTTTTCAAAACGTTGACGGAAAACATGGACGGTTTTTTCTGTTTACTTTCGAATGATTGCCCTTTTGCTTCCACTAATTTTTGTAAATCCAGTGCTTTTCGTCTTGCAATCGATCGTTTACGTTCATCAGCCGCATCTTGACCGTGTAAAAGTTGACCATCATTTCGAACATAAATATCTGTTCGCTTTCGGGGCGGCTCTAAATCAAAATCGAATTTAGTTATTTGTTTCATACATAATGATTTCATGAAGATAAAGATGGAGTCATTTGTTTTACCTAGAAGACTGTCTTCTTCAATGTCTTCAACTTCATCGCTACTGTTCAATGAACTGTCTGGTACAGTCGACGGATCTTCATCCGTCCACGTCAGAAGACTGTCTTGCTCATTGGACTGATTTTTATCAGTGAACGTTAGGAGAATTTGATCCTCGTTCGATTGAGTCGCACCGCCGAATCCCAAAAAACTTTCTAGTTCATTGAGCTCGAATCCGTCGTCGATCATAAATGAGTCGTTCTTTTGCGTGCCCGCAGAAAATAATCGATATCCTCGTTCACATACGATACAGTTTGTGTCGTTGGGTGAATTTCTATAAGTACATTCACTACAATTCCACTCCATTTTGAATGATTAGTGCGTTGTGCAAGAGTTGGTGTTCGTTTATATTCGATAAAGCTGATACAATAATCAGCTAATAAATTGTCTTTGACAACAAGGCGTTGAGATGATTGTTTCAATCAAGTTGAGTTATAGGGTGATCTCTTTAACATGAAATGGCAAATTTCACAGTGTTGCAATGTTTAACCCTTTCGTTACCGCGTCACATCTCGTAGATGTGATATAGAACGAAAAGAAATATTTTGCGTTCTGTCGACTTCTTAGACGACAAATATCATATGGTATCTTCAAAAAAAAGAAGAGGGTTTTAAATTATATTGAAATGGCGGTCATTAACAATGATGACACTAGATTTCAAACGCAGCTGATTGCGACGACAGAACGCAAGAGAGAGAGATTCAGCTATTTTTCTTCGTGTGCGTGCAGAACGCAAGAAAATGTCGGTAATGAAAGGATTAAATATCGAGAAAAATTGCGATTATGATTCCGCTCTAGAAATTTTCACCAAATTCGTGTTATTGGCGCAATACAATTCTTGTCCTTGTAGAAGATTTCTCCAATGTGTGTCAGTGCATCACATATGGGCATTTTTTCTATGAATTGGATGATATCATTTCTTGGTATTTTCTCGGTAAACTAGGTCATTTCATGTCTTGGTTTCTTTCTTTATATTTTCACATACACTACATTGAGCTTTTCCTTTCCTCTTGTACGCCTAAATATATATACGTAGACATGTGTGTTCGTTCGTTCATGTCCCCTCTTGTGTCCTTCTCGTTTTTTTCGTCTCTTTCTCTCTCATTCTTCGTGCTTCTTCTGTACGTGGTTGTCATTGAATAAAAGGAACTCACGTTCACCAAAACCCACAAAAACTACAAAATCTACATCTACTATGGACATCAGTATATATATATATGTCGTATCGAAGTTACACCGGTCGACGAAGTTATAAGTTCGTCGTCTCATATTGACGAAGTTACAACTTCAACGAAAAAATTTGTTGAAGTTAGTTCTAATTCACTTATCACCGAATAATTTACTAGATTGAGTGTTTTATTGCTGAATATACGATAAAAAAAAAATTTTTGTCAATAAATACTATTTATTTAAGAATATTGTTAAATAAATGGTATTTATTGACAAAAAAAAAGTTTTTTGATCAAACACTCAGCAATAGGACATTCAATTTATGAAACTATTTATTGATAAGTGAATTAAAGCTAACTTCGATACGACATATATATATCTACCAGTTGTATTTATCTTACATTCATGTTGGAAAATACCATTGTCATTAACAAAGAAACCAAATATTGTGTTTGTCGTTCTGCCTTAACGGAAAAAATAATGACTCAGAATAACAGATGACTCATACTTGATGTTAGTTATCTCATATGTTAAAAAAACTTTAAGGGAGAGAGATTTGCTTATAGAACTTTGCCAGAAAATCTTTTTTTTCTTATAATAGATTGAAGATGAACATTAGAAAGAAACCATATGACAAGAAAAAAGTCATTGAAAAGTCAGGTGTTTGCTATGTTGTATGAAATCGTAGTGTAAAAGAATTACGTTTTACTAACAACAGAAATTACCAAGTTGTCTTCTCACAGGAAATTGACACCTACATTTACATTTAGGCTGTTTTGAATCATGAATCATACTGAAGTACGACAACTAAATAGAACACAAAGTCCTTGAAACATAGTCACGTTCTATCAATATTGAGAAAAACGTAGAGAGAATACATTGGATAAATACAAGAACACACAGGAAGGAAAGAGTGACATAGAGTATTCGTAAGCGACCTGTACCAAACGAGAAAAAAAAGAAAAAAAGAAAGAGAACGAATCGAAGATAACAAATATACGACAAAGCATAGTATATATCTCACAGTACCATATAATAAATTTTTGTAAATGGCATAACACAGTCAGTAAAATAAGAATGAAGTAAAGTATTACGTTTTCAGCGTTGGATTAATTGTAGTTAACAAAATATTTATCTTTTAGTTATAGCACCTATGTCGTTCGTTAGACTACCGGAGATTATTTGCTTATTTTTAGTTTCATCTCATCTTTACAACCTGAACACACAATTATATATCACTAGCGAGAACTAGTGCATACCACACAGTCGTCTTTTATCAAAAAAGCAAGTGGTTTCTGACAATTATGGAATTATGGGGGTACGATTGAAACCTATATATCCGTTTGGTCAAAACAATTTATTTACAGTTTTATTTTATTTTGAAACAACAAATTGACAAAATTTCTTTAAAAATAATATTTTCAATTTTATTTCTTGCATTGTTTTTGTGTACTCAAAAAGTGAGTACACTCTAGAATTAGTCGGTGTGTCCGACCGTCCAGCCGTTTACATGATAACTTTTGAAAGGAAAGTCAGATCGCGATGAAATTTTTTGCACAGTTTAGTTTCAACAATATCTCGGTCGAGTTTGAAGATGAGAATGATTGGCAGAGCCGTTCCTGAGTTATTGCAAAAATAGTCATTTTTCCCTATGCCTTCCTATACGAAAATCGACCCCTTCCCGCTTTCGTGAACAACTTCTCCTATCTTAGTCAAATAAAACCCCAACTATTATATACTATTCGATAGAGAATTTCACGAGCTACAAAATGGTATATAAAACATCTGCATAGACCTTGATTAGCATCCAAATTACGAAGAAACACAACAATTGCGCCGATCTTTAAGTTAAGTTTATGAGGAGGCGTTCCTGATGGTGTGAGGCTATTCAAAAATCCTGTGGGATAGTTGGTTACATCATCACCATCTTCACATTCTACGTCATCGACAGTTGCATACACATGTTCTTTTCCAGGTAGTCGTTGAAGTACTTCTTCATTTACCAGAAGAGAATGCTCGTTTTTGGGACAGAGACTTGTTCTATTGTATAGAATTGGAATATCGTCTATGGAAATGTGTTCGCCGAATATCTCGTTGACCAAATTACCATCAAACATGCAGGATCTAGGTAATTCGATTTCGTCATATTCATTTGATGGTAATTCACCATTGCAAAGTTTAATTAGCCAACTTGAGAACTCTTCTTCACCTGATCCTGTTCTCATGCTCTGGTGTAGATGCATGATCTTGAGGTGACGCCAGAGATCAAAACTTTTGAGATTTGCTGCAATTAATTCTGATCTATTCGCGGATCGAATGACTGGAAGAACTTGACGAAAATATCCACCGAGTACCATAATTTTTTTCTCCGAAAGGCATATTAATATTCATTGTATCTCTTAGTAAAATATCAACTGCCTTGAGAGCGTAGGATGGAGCCATTGGTGCTTCGTCCCACATGAAAACTTCTGTCTTTCTAATCTCGTCAGCTTTCTTACTGTTTGATCGAAAGCTGGATGTAGACGTTTCCACGATAGATACAGGAAGTTTGAAACGACTGTGTACAGTTCTTCCTTCGGGCAGTGAGTTTGCAGCAATTCCTGTCCATGCAAGTGCCATAACATGAACTCCTTGTCCCATGAATAAATGGTAGAGAGTGTTATAAAGGTGGGTTTTTCCTGTACCTGCAGGCCCATCTATGAAGAAGCATGAGTCAGCCGTCGTTGATTGTTTATGATGAGCTGCTAGGATTTCTTCCGCTGCTGAACGCTGATCTTTGTTCAACGTTGCGTACATTTCTTGTCCTATTCGACGCTCTTCTTCCTTGTTGATAATTTTTAATTCAAATGAATAAGGAACGGGTGCTGGTGATGGTATACCAAAATCACTACAGCTTCTACCTTACTCTTTCAACTTTTCTTCAATTGCATAGAATGCCATTGCTTCTGCTTTTTTGACATTGAAATGACACATGTAGTCCTTGGCCATATGTGCTTTAAATGAATTCCAGAGGTCTACATGTTTTGTTGAATTACAATATAGAAGTATCACACAGAAAAATGTTCTTAACTCTTGTGGCATCTGGAAGATGACTGCTTCAGCCATGCATCTTCCATATTCGGTATCATCACGTAATAGACCTCGTCTCTTAGCAGCATCGATAAATATTTGACAGATGTGGCCGTGTACCGTTTTGGGATCATCAAAACTACTGGCACCAGGAGTATACAATAGTAATAATCGAAGATGGTAATGTTCTATATCGCTCGGGCTGACAGAGTACATTCTACCAATAACGTTTTCACCTTGTAACCGACGCTTCCATGTTCCATTGCGATCAAAGACAAAGTGATGAGAAATATCATGGTAGAGATATTGTCCAGCATCTGCATTTTTGGAATTTAATTTAAATCATGCCGTAAGAGTTGTGTCTTTTGCAGTAGCTCTTTCTAATGCGGGTGTGGGTGTGGGGTGTGGGTATCAGTCTTGTCTTTCTAACCACTCCCACCCCCACCCTTACTGATACAAAAATTTATTGCTATTTTTGTCGAATTGATTCTACTCCAGAATCCGGAAACATTTCGCGCTCAAACTTATTTGATATTAACGAAGGGCTTTTTTTGACTTACCGTTTTAAATCAGTGTTAGCTATGAGTTCTTTTTTGTTTTGACTATGTTTTTTAAAATTTATTTTCTAGTAACCAGAAGTTACTTGTCTCTACCGATTTAAACATAGATGAGTTGTATAGGTTTTTAATTTTATATAATGAAAGAGAAAAAAGTAACATATGACATATAGCAAAAGATTATTTTGAGTATGATGATAAGGTTGGCTTATATAAACATCTAATTAGAACAAAAGAAAAGACTAAAATGAGTAGAAGAGAAACAATACAAGACTAAATTATGATAATCCTGTTTTTACTTTCATGTTTGGTTACCAAAGTCTGTTTTTTTTAATAAATCATTTTTGTTCATTATCACTTTGAGTAGCTGTTGTTAATGGTGTACGCGTTTTCTTCGGAATTTTTCGGAATTTTTTTGTTAGTGTTTGATAGTTTTCTACAGATTTTTACTGCTATTTATTTTTGTCTTCTTTGATGGAATAGCAGATGGTGGTGCTGTATCAGAGACCGGCGGGACACGGGACCAATCCTGTTCCGTCTCGTCCCAGGACAAGACGGGACATAGGACAAAAGGTCTCGGAATGCGAGATAGGCGGAACTCAGTGCTTCTCCTGCTTACTTCCGTTAATGAAACAAAACACAAAAATAACCGTCCATGTTATATATCAGAATAGCGATCGACTTTATGTCACAAGAGTAGAAGAATAGTTATCAAAGCGGTCGACTCTTGTGTGAACAGGTATTGAGACAGAAAAAGAACAAAATTGACGATCAATTTGAATTGAATGAGATGAATAATGACCGAAGAATGAGATAACGATCATAATATAATTCTTCTAACATAGACAATAGAATAAATATAGTTACACATGTATATATTTGTTTATTCTGTTTCATTTCGTCACAATTGTTACTTTCGAAAGTTGTTCATTTCAATTCGTCTTCATACATGGATTCTACGCCAAGAAAAGTCGCTGGTCGTAGCTACTCTCCATGCTCTCGTATTATTTCGTCTTCATCGAGCATTGATCTCGCCTCTCCTACTCCAACACCATCAACACCCATTCGTACTTCAAGTCATACGGTTTATTCTTGTGTACAGATTGAAAATATCCTCAAGAAAGAGAAAGATCGTTTTATCGTTATAAACAATAGAAATAGAAAACTGACGTCTGCCTGTTGTCAAGTATTTGGATTTCCGGCAATTATTGATTATAATGGTGGTCCTCCAGAACGTATTGACAAATTTGTTTCTTGCCTGAAGTGTTACAAGACTTACTGATTCACATCCAACAGTACCCGCTTTCTTCTTGATCATATATGTAACTCGTCTAAATCTGCTGATAGATCAAACACACTTGCTTCAATGCCATCCTCGCCTTTGGTTTTACAAAGGTCTATCACTGCTTTTACAACACCAAAGAAGAGTAAACTGACTGATATGACTAAAAATAAAATAAAAGAACTAGAAGCACTCTGGATCTGCGAAGATATGCGCCCAATTGCAGTTGTCGATGATCCCGGTTTTCGCCGACTCGCTCAAGAACTTGTTTCTATTGGTAAGCTAATTCTTATTAGAATGAATTCCATGTCGTTTTCGATTCTTCTAGGTGCTCAGTATGGTAATGTTGACATGGATGGAATTCTTTGTGGAGCCAAGACAATCTCGTCAAATATTAGTGACCTCGCTATGACTGAACGCTTTCGAATAAGAACGCTCCTGATTAATCCCCTGGAGAACGGTACGCTTTGTGTATGTCCAGATTTATGAATCGATTAGCATCGGCAAGTGCATTATTTGGGAATTACAGCTTCTTTCATCGATAACATGTATGGCTTACATAACATTGACTTATGCTGTCATCCTTTTCCACCAGTCGCAAAGACGGCTGAGAACATTATCACTGTAAGTTTCTATTTATTTCTGTGTTAATTTATTTATAAAATATTTTGGATTAGGTTCTTCAATCTGCTCTCGAGCCTTTCGGTATTATCGATCTTTCACAAGTTCTTTTCGTGCCAGATCGCGGTTCAAATTTTGCAAAAGGCTTTAAGGATTTTTTTGTAATTTGGTGTTTTGCACATCGACTGAATAATGTGCTCAAATTATGGTTTTTTACGGTAGCCACGAAGGAAGACAAGCGAAAGGCTATGGACAATATGCAATTGTTGGATGATTCCGACGAAGATTTTGATTCAGTCATTAAGTCAGAGTGTGTTCAAGATCTGCCAAGAAGGGGCTTTATGTTCTCAAAGTAGTATTTGAATGCAAAGCATTAGTAAAATATGTAAAAAAGGTGAGTTGTTTGTCACTTTATTTCCGCGTCGAAAATATCATCTGAAGTACGTTTAGGTCGGTCTCAACAAGGACATTAAAACTGCGAATGATGTAGCACTCAAACAATCATCGAATATTCGTTGGCTCTCTCTTGTCTATCTGCTCGAATGTCTCTCTCTCTCATTCGACGTTTTAAAAAATATCTCACAATTAAAGCAAAAACAATTTGCTATTGATCTTAATATCGTCGAAGGTTTGATTCGTCTATTATTATCCTTCAAGAATGTTCTCTCATGCATTCAAACGAATAATATTCCATCTTTACACAACGTCCTCATATCTGTATTTACTTTGCGTCAAGCTCTTGCATCGTTCGAAAATCTCGTTGCTTACGAAGCTGAATATGGATCTCCACCGACCGAAGTCAAAAAGAATCAGCGCACTCTGATCTGCTCAACAGAAGAAGATAAAGTCGAGCATGAAGATTAGTCATTGTTCTTCAATATTATCAATGTAATATTTGTCTTCTTGCAGGTCTGCGCTTCTTTCGTGTGCGACTTCTTACTTCGGTTAATGCGATGCTCGAGATCGAGCCGATTCACTACGCAGCCGCCATGCTACACCCAGAATATCGACATCTCAAAATGTGCCCGATCAAGGAGCGACAGGAATGTAAAAATTTCATTCGCACTCAAATGAAGAAAATCTCTGCACAAGAAAAAGCGAATGGTGCCATTATTCTCACTTCACGAGCTTCAACCGTTGATGAACCTCCTATTAAACGCAAGCGAGTTGGGGAAGAATTCGAGAGTGGCAATTTAAGCGCCGAATATGAAGACGATGGTGACGAACTCGGCCGCTACCTGTCGAAGCATCTCAAAAAGAAAGATTTTAGTGACAATCCTTTGGAGTTTTGGAAGGCCGTTCGAAGCGAGTTGCCCCTTCTTGCAAAAGTGGCTCAACAGATTTTCTGTATTCCTGCTACAACAGCCTCAGTCTAGTGAACTTTCAGTCACGGTGGATATATTATCAATGAACGTCGAGCAAATGTCAAGCCAGGTCAACTTCCTAACATTCTTTTCCGTCGATCGTTGAAATTAATCTAAATGTGCAATTATTCTTGAACGTTATGGTTTTTTTCTTAAATCCCAGCTTTTTGTGAATACATTTATGTATATTTATCGTACTTCACTTTTTCGTGTAGACATTTTTTGCTTGTGATACTTTTTGGCTGTGTAATAAATGCATATATATATATATATATGCTATTTATATTTGGTGAAAACAAGCTTGCGGAATTAGCCTGGACGGGATTAAAAAAATTTTAATAGAATGCGGGACGGGACAGGAGGGTGATTCCATGATGACCCTACCACGTTTACATTGACCACCTCCAAATCCGCTCAAACTTTCAGGGTTTGTAGAGATTTGAACGCTGATCATTTTGATAATAAAATAGTTGGCACTTCATAATGAAATGAGGGAGAACTAGTCAAAATACTGAACACGTCATTTTGATTCGAAAAAATTCACCTTTCGATGAATTTGGCCATTTCTCGTTTTCATGTTATCATTTTGAATTTTTGAGCACGGATTCGTGTAGCCCGAGTGAAGATGCATCAGAATATGTATAATTAATATTTTTTTATATCTCACTATATGGAACCCCACGTGACAGACAATTTTTAGCTGAAAACAAATTTTGAAATATNTTTTGACCAAGGTCAAACGACGTGTCACATTGTATAATTCAAAACTTTTTACAGGAGAGGTATAAAGAGTTCATATTTTGGATTTATAAGGTCCTAACCATGGCCTATCGTTTCAGAATATCAAATCGAAAATCTAAATTTTGAGTGGTACCGGCTCCACATAAAATTGATAGGTCCTCTCGCGGACCCTCTCTTAAGGTTTCGATATAATGTGCTTATTAACTATATTCATCGTTTTACTTTTGGTGCTGCAACAAACATACGCCGGACTTTGTGTATGTTACTGTCATGAAACATCTGATTGTCTTCGTCTAGCAGTAACTCTGTAGTGGTTGAATTTTTGCTCGAATTCAATATGCACACCGGTAAAATGTACGGAATGATCTAGAGATAATTGCCAATCAAACAATGGTCCTGTTAAGATGTGGACACGTTGTTCTAATGGTACTAAACGATTAATAGAACCATTTCTTATTGTAATTGGCATTACTTCAATAATTTTAAGGATGAACAACAAATTTTAAAATAAGACAATATACATAATCTAACTTTTGTGCGAATTTTACTGACCTTTCCTTTCTCGTTGACAATTAAGAGTCTTAATTCAAAACTTAATTATTAAATGGATATTTTTCTCATGTAAATATAATCAGTTTTTATGTATCTCATAAAGAATTCAACTGTGGATGTTCCTGCTCAAAAGACACATTCACATTCACATCTCACCAAAAATGCATTGATTAATATAATCTCATTTGTTATTCCGAGGATTGTAAGTGATTCTCCATTGTGCTTCCAGGCCTATATCTAGATGAGTCTAATCACGATTGGAACTTATTGTAAATGAGCTCCAATACTTGTCTTCATATGTCTCGTACGAATCAAATAGAAGAACTGATCACACATTAAGGAATAATTAGCTCACACTGTAGGAAAAAGTAGCACTCTTATTGGCTATTAGATCAAGCTAATTAAAAATAGTTGTGATAAGCCAAGATATAGCATAATTTCAATCAGATTTGATTCAGGATATGGGCTGAAAAAAACATTTATTATTTCATAAGTTTCATATTGACAAATCAAATGCTGAAAATCAAAATATGATGTCTCAAAATGATATGAAGTGTTATTACATAGTTCTACACCATGTTCTAACATGTCAAGTGATATTCATCTATTAGTTGACATCATATAGGACTAGCGGGACCCGTGCAAAATGCACGGTTGTTTTGTTTTTTTCATTTTTTTCTATGTAAGGATGTAGAGTTAGTAAGTGAATGTATTTCAATAGAATCAAAAGTCTGAAGTGTGCTTTTCAGAGAGTATTTGGAGGGCCTTTTTATTTTATGAACATATATCTACGATATTTACAAAACATATCTGGAATCCAGAGAAAGCTTATGTACAGTATTTACAAAACCTATATACACTATTTACAAAACTTCATGAAAAACTATATTTCTAGTTGTGTTTGTTTTACTATTTCCATTTTCTTGAATCACTTGCACACGGATAGATGCTAGTGCACGGACTCGTGAGAGAGCCACGTAGAGTTGACCGTGACTGAATACTGGCTGTGGCAGTAGTAGCCCCAGTCTATTGAACGTTTGTCCTTGGGATTTATTGATAGTCATAGCAAATGAGAGACGAATAGGAAACTGGTGTCTGCGCAGCTTAAAAGGCAAAAATGTATCGGAAGGTGTCAAATTAATCCTTGTTATAAGAGTTCGATGCTCTTTGTTGGATCCTGTCGCAACTACACAGTCGATCGTGTGATTATGCAAACATCTTACAATAAGCCGAGCTCCGTTGCAAAGCCCTCGGTTGACATCTAAATTTCGAAGAAGCATCACAATTGCACCGACCTTTAGGTTGAGCTTATGAGGCGGTATTCCTGACGGCGTAAGACTGTTCAGAAATTCTATTGGATAATTGCTGACGTCTTCACCGTCTTCACATTTGACTTCATCCACACTTGTATACATTGTTTCAATGCCGGGCAAGCGTTGAAGTACCTGTTCATTTACCATAAGAGCATGCTCGTTTTTGGGACACAGAATCACTTTATCACACAAATTCGGAATATCTTCCAGAGAGATATGCTTGCCGAATACTTCGTCAGCTAAATTACCATCTGATATGCAGGCAGCAGGCAATTCGATTTCGTCATTTTCCTTTGGTGGTAGTTCACCGTTGCCAAGCTTAATGAGCCATTCTGAAAATTCCTCTTCGCCTGGTCCTGTTTTTCTGCTCTTGTTTAGACGAATAATCTTGAAGTAAGACCAGAGTTCCGAGCTCTTGAGACTTGCAGCAACCAGTTGTGATCTATTCGCGAATCGAACAACTGGAAGAACTGGACGAAAATATCCTCCAAGCACCATGATTTTCCCCCCGAAAGGCACATTGACATTCATTATATCTCTAAACAGAATATCGACGGCTTTGAGGGCATACGATGGAGCCATTGGTGCCTCGTCCCAAATCAAGACGTCAGCCTTTCTAATTACCGCGGCTTCCTTTGTGTTTGGTTGAATACTGGACCTAGACGTCTCCAAGAGAGGCACAGGAAGCTTGAAATGACTATGTGCTGTTCTTCCTTCAGGCAATAGATTTGCTGCAATTCCTGTCCATGCAACTGTTAGAACACGGACACCTTGTCCTTTGAATAAACGACACAGTGTGTTGTACAAATGTGTTTTTCCTGTACCACCAGGTCCATCTATAAACAAACATGAAGCAGTAGTTATTGATCGTCTGTAGTACGCTTCCAGAATCTCATCCGCTGCCTGATGTTGGCTTTCATTCAAAGCTTCATACATTTGTTGTCCGACACGAAGCTCTTCTTCCTTGTTGATGGTTTCTATTTGAATTGGACAAAAGATGGATGGTGGTGATATACCAAAGTCGGCAAAACTTTGTCCTTGCTCTGTCAACTCTGCTTCAATTTCATAGAACACCATTGCTTCTGCTGTTTCAGCGTCGAAGTTGCGCATGAAGTCCTCGACCATATTCGTTTTATATGAGTTCCAGAGATCGATAGTGTTTCTTGTAGTACAGTGTAAAAGGATCAAACAAAAAAGTGTTCATAGTTGTGGTGGCATTTGAAACATTGCCGCTTCAGTCAGACATCTATCATGTTCACTGTCATCACATAATAGACCTCGTCTTTTAGCAGCGTCTACAAATGTTTGACAGATTTCGTCATCTACTTTCTTCAGGTCCTCGAAGCTGCAAGCACCTGATGTATGTAACAATAACAGGCGAAGATGGTAGCGTTCTGTATCTCGAGGACTGACTGAATACATCCTGCCTATGACTCTTTCGCCTTGTTGTCGACGTTTCCATTTGTTGTCTCGATCAAAAACAAAGTGATTTGGAATATCATGATAGAGATGTACTCTAGCATCTGAGTTGTCACGATTTAATTTGAACCATGCAGTCAGAGTAGTGTCTTTTGTAGCTGCTCGGTCTAACGCGTCTAGTTCGTTTCCTTCAGAAAAATAGATGGGTTGCATATTCGGAAGATGAATGACCAATCGGATAATGGAATGAGATTTGTCATGCAATGGAAATTCAAAGAGTCTCCAAACGGCTTCTGGCGCACTCACATATCTTGCGTCGAGATGCGCTTTAATTTCATCCCATTCAAGTATTTTTGAAGACATCACTCCATCTGGAACAGATCGCTCGAGATTGATATTAGCACAATCGTGTCCCTTATACACGTACTTAAATAGATACTTGATGCTCTTCACGGTTGCACACACCTCCACATTAATATGAGCATCGTATTTCATTAGCAAGTATGGATTATACGGGACTACCCATCGATTGTCAACCTCATACTTTCCCACCTTGACAATGATTCCATTATCTCGCCTTCGACATCGTGGATAGCCATCTTTATTTGGAGCTGTCTCATTTCGAAACTCCTTTGGAAAGTCTTTGGTGCACTTTCCATCTTCCATGCAAGGCGACTTCTTATTCAG